CATTTCGTAAATAAAGCTAGTTTATTCTTTCTCAATACAACTTTTGCACGTGACTTCCGCTGTCGTAACACTTCCCCTTCTTTAGTATTGTTCGTCCCGAACAATAGCCACTTAAGTTAAACCAACAAATAATTAACAATAATGTTACGTCTCTGGTCGCTAGTTAATTTTCCGTGTACTTTCTTTTCGAAGAAACTTTAGCAATACAAGTCCTTTCTTAAATGAAACTGGTTTATTCTTTCTAAATACAATTTTGCAATACACTTAATTTCCACAGTCAAGCTATAACAAACGCTATAATTCACAATGAACGTGTCACGTGCTCGACACAACAATACTCTCTCTCTGTCCTCAGTTCAATTACTCATTACATTGTTGCCGTCACGTCTTGACCATCTTATATATAAAAGACTACCGCATATCTAGTAGGCTCTCGAGATTTCAGGAAGGGAGTGAACGTTCGAGAAGATGACATTTTACTAGCGTCACGCTGTCATAACACTGCCCCTTCCTTAGTATTGTTCGTCTCGAACAATAGCCACTTACATTAAACCAATAAACAATTAACAATAACTTAATTAAATGTACAGAATTTACAAACACAAAATTAAAATTCAACAAAGTATCTTATTTTAAGGGACGTATCTTCTTCCGTACTGGTCTCCATCTCGTTGGCATCTGCTTCAAGTGGGGTTCATCTGCTTCATCAAGGGCTTCACTGTTTCCCTTCTCAAAACCGAGTAGAGTTTCTTTTTCGACAGTGACTTTTTCAGGTGACACGTCTTCAGCAGCGTCATTTGTTCCGTTTTTCCCTTCATCCCAACTGAAATGTCCTGGACCATGATAACACCAAAGCCTGTTAGCATGCACCACTTTTGGCTTACCTCGCCAACCACATTTTATCCAGAAAGTCACGTCTGAGAGACGATCCACTATGTCATATGGGCCTTCCCATGGAGAAAAGAACTTAGGAGACTTCCCTTTGGTCTTCCTGGGATTATACAACCACACCTTGTCTCCTGGTACAAAGATGACTTCAGTAGATCTCTTGTCATAACAGCAGACGTTTTCCAGTTTGAACGCACTTGATATTGAATATCATCCATCCTTTCCGATAACACTTTCACGAACTCTGACACATTTTCAGGTAACTCTTTGTAAGG